TATATTGTGATATTGACGATATGTGATAAAAATGGTAATTAAAAAATTATTAGATTACATGTGGCAACGTCTAAAAGAGGACGACGACACTAAATCTCTTGGAATTTGGCTTGAACAAGCGGCAGAACCGTTCAAAGTAATCCCGAGATATCTTGTGCCGAGTTACTTTGACGTTATAATTGTGAACGTTTATAGAATTATTTTAGATCACTGCAACAGTTTAATGTCAGAGTAAGCATTGAAATCGAAATTTATTAGAATATCAAGCTTAGAAGTTTTCTAATTAATATTTCGAAAAGAATAAAATCTATAACAAAAAAATTAATCATATGTTACTTGTTTAATATTTTTATTCCAGCTTTGTTAAGAACGGAACTACATTTGTTAAATTACTGAGTTTGGTTTCGATACAAATGGGTGGTATAGTAAGGTCATCACAATTGTCAAATTTATCGCCGGATCTTAGTCCACCTAAGCCAAAAATTAAAATTCACGACGGAGTGGCAGAGCAAATGTGTTTAACGTTATCGGCAGGCTTACCGCATTTTACAACGGGTTACACAAGAAATTGGGGTAGAGATACTTTCATTGCTATGAGAGGGCTGTTACTTTTGACTGACAGGCATGTCGAAGCAAGATTCATAATTCTTGGATTTGCCGGTACTTTACGACATGGCCTGATACCTAATCTGCTCGATAAAGGAAGTAATGCGAGGTATAATATACTTTCTTAGAACATTTTTAGGATAATATTTTAGGAAGTTTTGATTTAAGCCTTATCATCGATCTCATTCTTATAAATAGATACAATTGCCGCGATGCTTTATGGTGGTGGCTCTATACGATAAAATGTTACATCGAGGAAGCGCCGAACGGTTTGGATATTTTATCCGATAAAATTTCAAGATTGTTCCCGACTGATGATTCACCAGCTTTGGAGGCAGGACAATATGTATGTTATAAAAAAACAGCCGCAACTTCAATTATAATTCAATATAAATAATTTTAATTAAAAATTGCACGTTATGTGACATGTAAAAATGGTTTCAGGATCAACCATTGTATGAAGTAATTCAGGAAGCTCTCACAGTACATTTTCAAGGTCTCTGCTTCAGAGAGAGAAACGCTGGGAAACAGATCGATGAGCACATGACCGATCGCGGATTCAACAATCAGATCGGTGTTCATCCCGAAACAGGTTTCGTATTCGGTGGCAACGATGCTAATTGCGGTACCTGGATGGACAAGATGGGATCTTCTGAAAAAGCTGGTAACAAAGGCAAACCGGCTACCCCCAGAGACGGTTCCGCCGTAGAGATAGTTGGGCTGAGCAAATGCATTCTCAGTTTTCTGGCCGAATTGTACAAACAGAATCTTTTCCCATACAGCAGTGTTCAACGTAAAAGTCGCGATGGTAAGGATACCTAGAACACTAACGTTTAAACATTATTTATATTTTTTTCTAATTATAATTATACATAAACTATAGGTCAAACAATAACTTGGAGTTATAAGCAATGGGCCGATAGAATTCAAACAAATTTCGAAAAGTACTTTTACGTAAATGAGATTCCGTCACAGAGCGAGTCGAAACCTAATTTGATCCATCGACGAGGTATATTCAAGGACAGTCACGGAGCAACGCAAGAATGGGCAGATTACCAGTTGCGGCCTAACTTTTCCGTTGCGATGGTCGTTGTGAGTGTTATTATCAATGTTTAAAAATATTCTGCGAAGTGTATAAAATAGAAAAAAAGTATTTTATATTACCACAAATCTATATATATAATCATAATTCATAATGATTCATCAAATAGGCTCCGGAACTGTTTAATCCTCATCATGCCTGGACAGCGCTGAAAAAAGCGGAGGAGATACTACTTGGCCCGCTTGGAATGAAGACGTTAGATCCTGCGGATTGGGCATATAATGGATATTATGACAATTCCAATGATGGTACCGATGCTAAAACAGCACATGGATGGAATTATCATCAAGGGCCTGTAAATATATTCTTTATCACAATCGCATATTCGTCTTGAAATATGTAAAGATTGAGAGATTTAACATTCATGCAATATATTCTTAAACATCTATTTTAACATTTTTTCCAATCTTTCCAGGAATGGATCTGGCCGATAGGATATTTCCTACGAGCGCGTTTATACTTTGCGCTATTAATCGATGATGAAAACGAATTACACCATGTGATCGAATCGACTGAAGCCATTATTTCTCGGCATTTTATCGAAGTGTCTACCAACCATTGGAGAGGCCTTCCTGAGCTTACCAACAAGGACGGAAGTTACTGCTCAGATAGTTGTCGCACTCAAGCTTGGAGTGCTTCAGCTATATTAGAGGTTTGTGCTTGAAGCGAACTTCGTATGGTATTTTTTTTCTGATATTTGTCACAGTATTTGTTGCGCATTAGTACCATTTATGAGTTTACAATATCATTATTTAATGCCTGTTTGTTTGGGATTCAGGTACTCTACGATTTACAAAAGATCAAACAGGAATTGGGATCCAAGCGAATGAGATCCAAGAATTGATATAACTTTGCGTGTGTTCATCACTATCAACTGCACCTAGAGCAATTAAAATTAGAAGCGAGACGTAGGAATGACACCAGGAACAAAGCAGATGACACGAATGTAAGCTTTTCCACTGAAGCAATAATGACACTGCACACACCAGAAACACACGCATATCATATCCCGCATGCAGGTGTAACGAACACGCAAATCTACAAATCTGTAGTCGCTACTGATAATACATTCATAAAAAACGATATTGCCGTCGAGGAAGGATCGATCTCTGCGATTGATAGAAAACATGATGGCGCAAATTTTGGTAGCTCGTCCGATTTAACAAAGATTTCATTAAATATGAGAGATGAGATATATCTTAATAATCAACGGAAAGCTGAAAACTACAATCGACAACAGGTGATTGAAAACCACGAAGCTACTATTCGAGACTTATCGAATGTTGATCATGTTTACGAAAAAGTTAAAGCGATTAAGCAGCCACGTAATAATTTATATGAACACGACATTTAAGATTATTACGAGAAATATAGTCCCGCTATGGCGAAGATCTTGATAGATCCGCTTTTCTTGCCGCGACATACAATTTGCAGGAAGTGCGCGAGAACAAAGAGCAGTCCAGTATACACCGATCGTTTGATATATACGAAAGAGTCGTTGCTCGCCATAGAAGTAGTTTTATGTCAGTATAATGACGTTTCATGCTTCAAGTATCCGCACGAGGATTCCGAGGATATTTTCTGCTCGCAATATGATCAAAATCGAGATTATATGCTAGTTTATAATTACACAAAGACTAACGTCGCGGGTATATTCTATTTTCATTGCTGGCCTGACATCTTCGATCTGCAATCGCTGTTGAAGCCGAGCATCTATGTTGTAAACCGCACTTGTTGCAATCTTATAGTAAATACTCACTTGTATCATCGCTGCATAAATAGCTATCACGTGAGAACATCGAGAGCTGGTTGCACACCCATGATGTTTTATCATGATTATGGCACTATAATAAGCAGCACGAAACACATTAGTCACAACGATTCAGAAGATCCGCCGATTTATCAGGTACACCGATCGAAGGGTGACCACACTGAATACCGGAGAAATAGATCGAGCTTGTTGCTGTTGGAACCGTTACTGCTAATGCCGGAATCGGCGGATTCTGAACGTCGAGAAAATACCAAGAATAAGATTTCGCAGTCAGAATGCACAAAAATTATTAAAATAATAATAATCTACGCATTATCATTTCTTATTCTTACGAGCATTACATTTTACATCGTTTATTTTACTTAGAGCGGCTGATTGTTATGGTAAGATATTTAGGAAAATTTAATCACATTCGAATGTTACGTGATACATTTATTGTCATTAATTTTACGTTACATTTGTTACGAAGTGTTGTCGCCAAAATGTTTAACGGAAATTATGCTCAAAATTGCATATATGCATGATTTATATTTCGGCGTTATATATGTATATATTTTATATCTATTATCAATGGGGTATTTCGTCAATTAATTAATGACAAGAAATTGTTTTGTGATATACAAATTGTTAAATCTGCATCACTATGAGCGAATCGTTTTTATCTCTATCAAATTACACGCGTAACAGACATACAATATTTTAACAAGCTTGCATATAATTCATAAATATATTATATATATTTATATATCTTTAAACTTTAGAGAGCGATATAATCGTTTTAAATAGCGTCATTGAGATTTATAAAAAAAAAATGTTATTCGAGACACGTGCTTGAACTAATCTCAAAAGTTCGAAGGTTTAATTCCTTTTAGGTGTTGTCTATTAATATATCAAATATTTAATAGTTCCTATTGTTAATTTCCTTCACGATACTAGAAATGCAGGAATTGATTTTAGTGACGTCTTATTTATATAAATACTCATCGAAATAAGATTCATGAATAAAAATTGATATGTTTTAGTACATTTTTGTCAAGAAACAAAGCCATTAGAAATTTCGAAATTTTCGGATGAATCTCATGGATCACCCAAAAAAAATATTTTGTCATTTAGCGGTTCTGTGTTAATGTTAGAGGATTTTTCATTTATATAAGACCTCAAGAGGATACTCTACAAAGTAAAGGAATTTAATATAACGATAAAGTACTGGATTTAGGATTTCAATTCTCTCAATACTAGAAGAAGAATGTCTTATATGTACTGACATACATTACAGTAGCACGTAAATGACAAACTTCTTCTAACAAATAAGTGTATCACTAGTATTTTGTATATCCTCTTATTTCAAAAGGCTGTTTGAGTTATTATAATTAGAATTTTTATAGAGGAATTTATTTTTGATCATAGCTCATGTGTCCTCATTTTTATAGATGAATGTTATAAATACACGCACCTGATTAATTCCCTGGGAATTCCCCGCTTATCGGCAGAATATTTTTTTTTGAGTGATATATCTTAAATTGTAAATATATATATTTGGATCGCAAAAAGTATGGGAGATACAAATTTTGTAATAAAACAATTGACAAAACTTCTAACTAGCACTAGAAGTTTCATTCTTATATTTATTTTGAAATGCCTTCATAATATAAATTCCCATATTTTAATTTTTAAATTATTTGTGAATATTTACATTGGAAATTAATGCGTTTTATTATTATTGTTATATACTGACTTATTATTAAATTTTCCTGTTGGTCACACTCAGTCGATCTTTTTATATCATTTCTATCCATTCATCATTCCAAAACTTTATAAACTATTCACAATACAAATAGAATTAAAATGACTAGACAAATTAAATTTTTGAAACAAACAACGGAAGTTTTTTGTAACTTTATATATATATATATATATATAT